CCCCAAAACCCCAAAACCCCAAAACCCCAAAACCCCTAAAAATATCTCCATGATTGAATTACCCTAGATTAGAAAATAACGTTGTCTGGCTATCGTTGATGTAAATACTGTTCGCTAACGTTCTAGGGTTGGGAGAAATGAATCTCCTCTCATTGTTTCGACTATACTCTAGAAGCAAGCCTTGACTAGGATTGGTAGAGATTCCTCTCGGAGTCTCAGTGTTGCTAGCTTCGTGAGAAAGCATACGGTTCTTGTTGGAGGTAACACTCTGCTTCTTCAGACCAAACCTTCTTGACCTATCGACTCAAGGCAAGTTGATGTTCTTCACACCTCCAAGGAGGTTGGGAATATCTACAGAGTGGTTCTTGAGATGGGAAGGCTTGTACCTCCCTTTAGCTAGGTTCTTCCTAGCTATTTTGAGAGAATTCTTCTCAATCTGTTTCTTCTGTGATACTATATTGCTATAATTTATCCTCTCCAAATTTTTAAAATGTGCTCTTGGAATTTTAATGACATCCTTCAGAGTCTTGATTTCTGCAATAGCTTGTTGTTCACGAGCGAGAAACATATTCTGGATAGTGTCCCGGACCTTGAGCTCCTCAGAGGCAATGGCGATCCAATTAGATTTTTTGGCATCTTCTTTCTTATTTATCAGCTATGAACTTCTCCTTTATATTCCTCATTCTAAATGTTAAGAGCAAATCCTACTGTTTATTTATGATCCTGTTTGTTCCTGGAAAGCAGGTCCTTGAGTCTATTGATTTCGGCTGAGAGCTCAAGTCATTGCTCTTGGACTACCTTGACTTGGTCCTGGTAATAACTGTTCATGGAGAGGCAGCTCTCCACTTCATGGTCTCTCTCCTCGATCTTCTTGTTCAATTGTGCAATCATGGTTTTGTAATATAGAATTGTGGTAGCTTGCCCTGCCTTCCTCCTATGAATAGTTAAATTTGCATTACGTTTGCTGCAGATTGAAAAACTTGAATTTGCTCATAAAATTACTGTTGAATTCATCCAGAGCCTCTTCTTGATCCTAAAACATGATGAGGGATGTACCTTCCTTAGAGACTCTAGCTCTGGCTTCTGCAACTCCATGATTATTTTGGAAGTGTGCCTCCTATAGTTTAGACTCAGGGATATTACTTAGGATCAGCATGCTTATTTATAATAATTAGGTGAATCTTTAAAGAGCCTGTCAAATAAGATCTGTCGCTTTCTGACTAACTCCTTCATCTCTCGAGTTCCTCTCTTAGTGTTCAAGCCGCTCTCTAAAGTCTAGAAGGAGGTCTTACCGATAACAGTCTGAAGCTGGACATCGATCAGGAACATTTCTTGATCTTTCTGGATAGTTACGTACTTTTCTAGTTGGTGTTCTGCTTCTACAAGTTGTGACTTGATCCGGCTGTATTCATACAGGATCCCATCAATCTCTTTCTTAAGAGCTTCCATGACTCTGGTGCTCATCTTCTCGAGTAGCCTCTTGGCTGTGATCTCAGCTTTCTTCAAGATATTCTTGGTATCTTGTTTATGAGCATGTCTTATTTTCTCAACATGTTTTAAGAAAAACTTTTTATCCGATTGAATAACAGCTGAGGAAGGGAGAGAACAGTGCTTTAGGAGCTCTTCCTTGAATCGTTCCAATGGAGTCAGGCCTTCTTTGAGTAAATTCTCAATGTTATTGAGCAGGACCTCTTTCTCGCTCATAGCAATGTTTTTCAAGTTTTCAAGTCCGTAATTTTCTAATTTCTCTAACAATTTTATCGGATCCTTGAGGTCTCTTTGTAACTGCCTATTTTTCTCAATTTTGCTGCGGTCATAGTCCTCCCAGAACTCTTGCTCAACAGAGGTGTAGCCTTCTGAAGAGTTTTCCATTCTGGAAGACCTCTTCAGTTCTTCGCTGGCCTTGGGCTGGATGAGAGCATGGTCTATAAACTTGTTCTTAAAGATATCTTCATATTTTCCAACATCTCCTTCATCGATACATTGCTTCATGGCAAAAATACGGGGGTTTATGTCAACTTCCTTCATTCGACTATCATATCTGCGAGTCTTGGTCTCCGAGTTGTAATAAGATTGGCTTTCATCGAGAGAGACATCGCCTTTTCCTTCACCCTCTGCTTCATTTGAAGGGTCAGCATTATTGTGCTGAGGAGGTTTAGCTTGATCTTTAAGCTCATTGAATTTTATTTCTTCCTGTCTCTTCTTTCTAGCCTCCTCTTGCCTTCTCTTCTCAGTGACTTCTGTATTGATGATTTCCATAATTTGGTCTTCAAAATCCTGAGTATATGAATGAGGGATTTTAATGGAACTTTCCAGTTTATTTCAGCTTCTTTACCTTCTTATAATCTTCCATGAGGTTTTGAATAGAGTGGTTGCGATCCACTAAGTCTTCAACTTCAGAATCGAAGAAGGCACTATCGCCAAGAAGGTTAGAGTCGACCATCTGGATTGGCTCCCCGATTTCGAAGGCATCTGACCTATCTTCTATATTTTGAACGTTACTTCTGACTAAGCCTTGCGGTAGGCGTGACATTTTCAATAAAAATATATTTTATTGGGGTTTTGGGGTTTTGGGGTTTTGGGG